TCAGATTGCACAGTTCCCTAAGTTAGGCCACACCGACTTAATTTTATGGATGAAATCCTCTGAAGACCCCCAAACTAGTGCGCGCGGGCGAATAAAAAAAAATTCTGGCCAAAAATAAAAATGCTACTAAACCACAGGAATACAAAGCTGGTATTGTGAGTTTGCGGCAGTACATAGCGACGTGTACTACGCGGAATTTATGAATCGGCACTGTACGTATGTACTGAGTTCTTGAGTCCTGGGTGCCCAGCTCCGTATTGTAACTACCATGGACTACCCAGGCCTAAAGTCAGGCCAGAGCCAGAGGACGTGATCTTTTTTTTTTTTTTTTGTAGGACAGGGCACGGATGTCATCCATAAAATTAAGTCGGTGTGGCCTTATGATAATAGGAAAGTTCTCTGTGGCCTTCATCACTAAATAATTTAGAGACTCCTATTAATATCTTTTCATCTTGACAAAAAAATAAACTTATATGGATTTCTTTTCTTTAAAAATTTTTTAAAGTTTGTCTTTAACTTAACATGACAAATCTACCTGGCGCTTTAGCAAGGATATCTGTACTGTACTTGTACTTTATGCATAGAAGCATTAGAAACTGTCTTCCTTTTCTTTCATTCAAACACATACACAACTTCTTCAAAGCTTTGAAATTATAACATATCTCACTAAACCTTGGAGCCAAAGTGTTTGCCTAGCCAGAATTTATGTGCTTTTCTTCGAATCCAATGGACTGGTTAATTGACAGGGACTTTGTTCCTGAGAGTGTCGCATACAAACAGTAAGACACAGAAGAGCGACACTTAGGAGTCCTGGTCTGTCTGCGGCTGTGTCTTTGATCTTCAGCTGCTCATCCCTCATCAGGCATCTGAAGTTTTTAACGGATACTGTAAATCCTGACACTTTCGCAGTGGTTTGATTTTTGCACTGCAAATTCCAGGTATGACTACTGTACTAACTACGGAATTGTTTCAACTGTGAGTTAAAACACTGTGAAAACTCCTTTTCCCTCAAATGGCCAGGGTTCTTTTTCAGTCCTATCTTTTTCAGCTTTTTTGGATATTTCCTTCCCAGGATATCGAAAGTCAACAAAATAGATAAAATAGTTAGAACAAGCTAAAAAGCTAAAAATAATGTCTGAAAACACGCCTATTTTCTCCAAGCAGACGTTAGGTGTGAGTTTGTAAGAACAACCCTGCTCAAAGACAATTAAGATCAACTTTGTTGTTGAAGAAAGAAGATGGTAACTTTTCAGAGAAACTTTTTCTTCAGTAAGTTCTAACTTTCTCACAGGGGCGATGACCTGAAAAATCTGTGTTGCTCACAAACCACAAATGGACACAGGACGCGTCACTCAAAAGTTATGTCCCTAAAAGTGTCTCTGTTTGATCCTGCCAGCCACACCCTAAGGCACGTCACCACATGACATCGCTGCATTGTACCTGAGACAAGAGATACAGAGATAACATTATCAGGACAAGATAACCGCCTGCCGACTGACGCCAAGGCTGCTTCTCACTAGTAAACACAATTAGGAGAAGACCCTAGATCATACATCAATGTCTGTCTTAAATATTTCTATCTTGTCACGGATCCACACTACCCAAAAAGTTTGGGCACAACAGCAAAATTCTAGGTGCGCCACTATGAAGGTAGAACATTGTATCAAACATTAACTTGTAGAACATTGCACAAATATTATGTTTTTTGGACATTAGAAACACGCAGAGGAAGTATCAGGATACCAGAAGAGGGCAAGAAAGAAAAATTAACCAGAAGACAGCAAGAAAGCAAAATTGATATACATTCATTGTAAATAGCCATGATTTTTTAATATTGGCAAAGAAAAAAAGCCGTATGATCTTCAAAACTTGTTAACAGTACACATCATTACATGGAAGTACATTTGACAATGACTGACGTGTTGAAACTGTCTTGAGTGTTGAAGTAAAAACAGGAAATGGTTTTCTCTGTTTTTCTCTGAGCCATATTTGGAATAACAGGCTGGGATACAAAACAACAAGAACTGGTGTAGCATGAATCTCAACTACAAACACTTAATGCTGAAGTGACCACCTCTAGAAGCTGGCCATCTGGTCATGATGACCGAGTTTTCTCGGTCCCGAAAATCTGTCCACTTGTTTGACACGACCGAACTGGACCAAACAGAACACGGCCTTGTCCCTGCTTATATTGACTGCAATATTTTGAAGCATGAAGCATATTGAATTTTGATGATAAGGCCACACCGACTTTTTATTATGGATCCTCTGAAGACCCCCAAACTAGTGCGTGCGGGCGAATGAAAAAAATTCCGGCCAAAACCACACTACTAAACTACAGGAATTGCTGGTATTGTGAATTTGTGACAGTACATAGTGCCGTATACGACAAGCCGGCACATGCTGGCTTTTTGCGGAATTTATGAATCGGCACTGTACGTATGTACTGAGTTCTTGAGTCATGGAGCTTCAGCAGCCTGGGTGCCGTCCTCCAGAGTTACAACCGGATCCGTATTGTGGCTAACTACCATGGACTACCCAGGCCTAGAGCCAGGCTATAGAGCCTCTGTGGACGTCGTCTTTTTTTTTTTTTTGAGAACAGACGAAAAGCAATGTGCGCGCGGATGTCATCCATAAAATTAAGTCAGTGTGGCCTAACCGGGATCAAAGATGACACCCTTAGTCATCTGACAGTCTACTATAGGACATGAACTCGGAAATCTGTATCTTACCTTCTTCATGTGCTTTGTGTCAGAAATACCACTTGAATGTCTAAGAAGACCAGATTCTATACAAGTCCCCTGGGTGGCCGTCTTAGACAAGTTTGACTATACTTTAAACTCATTCCACCACCAGGGCACCTGGTACTGTATTCTGACACCAAAACTTGACTGACACCATAACTTGCCCCCTTTCAAAGTATTTGCTAAGACCCATAATTCTTATTGTGACACTCGTATCCTTGCCAAGCTTTCCCTCTCAAGTCGTAAATCTGTGGTTTATGTGACGGCTAATGTTATTGGTGCTGATCTGTATCTGTATTGGTATAGCCGGTATAACCACCTTTCGGCGTAACACACCAGCTTCGCAGGCATGTGGCGCGGCGGCAGCTGGCTATATAAAACCGATCGACTTATTACACTCAATCTTTGCACATTTGATTGCAGGAGTTGTTTTAAGCTTTCTAGTGATGATGCCCCAACTGTGCTTGGTGGCAACGAGTTCCAGTCTACGATAGTTCTGAGTTAAACGAGTTTTAGCAAACTTTTAAGTCAAGGAATACAACAGCCCTTGATCGACAACATTCCGATCATAAAACAAGTCAGAGTCGGTCCAATCCAGATCTAAGTGCTTCAAGAAAACTTACAACAATTGTTTTTTTTTCAGAAACCCTCCAGATCCATTATAATGAACTATCAGAGCTCCAAAGACTTAGTCTAGGTTTTTATTCTGCATACCTGCACTGGTGCACGAAACATTCAAAATTACCTGCACCAGACAAGTTCTACCTGCACCACAGTTTTGTTGCCTTTCAGCATACATGTATAAGAAAAAAAAAGAGAGATTTTTTTTGAAAGAAATGTTCCTATATCTATAGCTAGTAGCACCATTTATCACAACCTAGACAACATAATTATTGATTTAGATAATTTTCTATTTTTCAATCATAATTACAATCACTATTACATAAGAAACTAAAACATTCTTTCAAAGAGTTCATCCAATTTCTTGCCATAGAAGACTACAGTCGTTTACTAAAAGTTCTTAGATTCACTAAGTTAGCAGGGCTCAAAATTCATGTTTGGGAATAGGTGCACTGGTGCACCCAACCTCAAAAATTGGGTGCACAATTTCTTTTTTGGGTGCACCAGATAAAATGAAATTGAGATTGTCAACAAAAACTAATTACAACATGTATGTTTCATTTCAGATCTTATTTTTCTTACACTTAAATGTTTAGAATATGCTGCATACTACTATACATTTAACAGCTTATTGACATACGTAAATTTACAATGCACCCACAGTAAAAAATTGGGTTCACAGCTGCAGATTTGGGTGCACTTAGGTGCACATGCACCCAGTATTTCCAGCCCTCATTAGAGATGTTACATCGTAATTTTGTCACTTTAAGACATGATCCTTACGAGTAGATGACTTGTACTGTACACAAACACAGACATGTAGAAGGTGACCAGGCATGACTCCTACACACACACATGGTTGTCAGTCATCCCTAACATGCAAGGACACTCGGCACATGACATTCTCTACTGTTGTGTCAACAAAGGGACCGGTGTCTTTCTGAGGTGTTGCCTCAATCACTTTAAGATAACAGGAATAACATCTTGTTTTTTATTCCTTGCCTTTAAAAGACATTGTTGGTACAATTATATATATATGTATATGAGTGTTATTAAGCATGATCAGGTCTGATCTCAAATCAGTACAATCATGTCAAATCAGTACTAAATCAGGAAAATCAAAATAATGTAAGCCCTCATACCAAGGAGGACAGTTGTCTATGTGTTGCCTATGTACAGGGCTCGAAATTAAAGGTGGTGCAATGGCCACTGACCACTAAAATTTAGGCTGGGACAACTAAAAAGGACACTTTGGGACATTTTGGGGACAATAGAAAAATGATCAAGATCAGAATGTCAGCGCTTCTTTTATTTATCTGGCACACGTCCCGGCTTTTGGATCCAGAAAAGTCCCACCGAATTTCCTGTCTACTCGGCAATTTAAGTGGGAGTGAACATATGCAAAAAACAGTTAACTTCATGTTGAAGTTGTTGAAGTTATATAATATTTCAACAAAAAAAAACAGGTTGGGGCAGTTCATCCTCACTTTGGGACAATTGAAATTTATTTTTGGGACAGTGCTGGGACAATAGGAAGAAAAGTTAATTTCGAGGCCTGATGTACAAACAAATGCTACCAAAAACATAACCTTCATGGTGAAGGTAATTAGTACATTACATAGAGAGTAAACTCACCCTGCCATGAAAGGAGCTCATGTAGTCCACAGGAACATGTGTACCATCATACAGACTGGACACCTCTGCATCACTCACACGCTGGTGGCCTCTGCAACAGTACAAAACTGTGGTTACTTCAATTCTTTATGTCACATTAGGCACCTGCTTACAAACAGATGGCAGTAACATTACATGTGTTAGTAGATTAAAATCAACAACAAAAGTCAAATCATGCAAACAATTCTGGTAAACTGAAAAACATTTTCTTCATACAATGGTATTAATACATTACAAATACAATGGTATTAATACATTACAAGACAATACAAAAGTGCATACCTGTAGACAGTTGGATATGGTGGAAAGTACATACCTGTAGACAGTTGGATATGGTGGAAAGTACATACCTGTAGACAGTGCCCAGTTGGATATGGTGGAAAGTACATACCTGTAGACAGTTAGATATGGTGGAAAGTACATACCTGTAGACAGTGCCCAGTTGGATATGGTGGAGAGTACATACCCGTAGACAGTGCCCAGTTGGATATGGTGGAGAGTACATACCTGTAGACAGTGCCCAGTTGGATATGGTGGAGAGTACCTGTAGACAGTGCCCAGTTGGATATGGTGGAGAGTACATACCTGTAGACAGTGCCCAGTTGGATATGGTGGAAAGTACATACCTGTAGACAGTGCCCAGCTGGATATGGTGGAAAGTACATACCTGTAGACAGTGCTCAGTTGGATATGGTGGAAAGTACATACCTGTAGACAGTTGGATATGGTGGAAAGTACATACCTGTAGACAGTGCCCAGTTGGATATGGTGGATAGTACATACCTGTAGACAGTGCCCAGTTGGATATGGTGGATAGTACATACCTGTAGACAGTGCCCAGTTGGATATGGTGGAAAGCGTCTATTTTCATCAGGAGTGCCTTCTCTATGTCATAGTGCAGACCTCGCACTGCAAACCCGGGAATGTACTCTAGAGCCATGATATCATCTGGGTACTGGGAGTAACATACAGGTTCACATCATGTCAACAACATGACAACATTTATGTATTCAGTACTTATTCAGATTACACTGAAGCTGTATCTTTCAGTATAAGGTCTTCCACCTCTATTTCTGATCAACTATTAAAAGACACGGATATTGTACTGTACTATATCACCTTGACCTGTACCTAGGTTGTGGGAGCATGAACATACAATGAAAGTCTATCATTCATTCATTGAAATAACAAATTGTTCAGGACTATCCCATTGTACAGGCAGTTTTAGACCAAAATGTTGAAACCAATGTCACTAAATCAGTGTTTCTGAAGGGGTAAGGGAGGAGTTCATATCATGCATGAAGCAATTTTTATGGTCAAGAGGCTGGGCTAGCATGCAAGAGATTGAGATCTAAAGGTTGTGGGTTCAATTCTCACCACGTTATTTCAGACTTTGAGAGGCAGCATGTACAAATCTTGTACATACAATTTTTTTCCCACTAGAATTGTGCATTTACATTCATGAGCAGATATAAAAAGGAACCTTGTTTCTCATGAGCAGCCTTTCCTTAGCCAGGTTATAGATGAGAGGGTAGAGTTCATCAGTGTAGTGTGCCAGGGTGTAGTCATAGTCAAACCCATACACCTCCACATCTCCCATACACAGCTCATTGTTGGCAAACACTGAGGTAGGGTTGATTTTACACAACGGTTTTTGTTCTGAAAAAAGGAAAAGAAAGATAGTTAGTGGTGTGCTAATGAATGTTAATGTTTAAAATTCAACAGTACTGTATCTATATCTGTATACTAGTAGCTGGTATAACCACCCTTCCACATAACACACCAGCTTTGCAGGCATGCGGTGCAGCGGTATAGCTGGCTATATTATACCGAACGACTTGCCACATCTAGCCTTTGCACAAGCTATTTGTGTTGTATAGAGCTATCTAATGGTGACGCCCCTACTGTACTGTACTGTAATAGCACCTTTAGAAGTTAGAACAATTAGGCAATATAAAAACTACAATTTAGTACAAATTATAATTAACCATTGAGCTTGTACAACTTTGTGCAAAATTTTAGAAATGACAGTTGGTAAATTTTTTTTTTTCTTTCTTTCTGAGAGTATAGCTGACAAAGCAAATAATATTGTCTCTCTGGGACCAGCCTGTAATACTTTCATAACTCATATGGTTATGATATGTGTCAAGAATAGAATATACCAAATATAACAAGTTGGTCTGATCAATGACTGGGGTCACCCCCATTGCCTGTAATGGACTATTCCATCTGTCCAGAGCATAATTTTGGGTCTTAAACCTAAATAAGCAACATTGTGGAATTCCTGTGCACTGTGCAGTACTTTTTTCCACAGTTTTATGATAGTCTTTCAGTCCGAGTTTCAAACTATGGCGGGAAGTTAGTCAAGATTCAAATGTCGTCTGCTTGAGGTCACTAGCGGTCATGAGAAGATATGGGTCAACGCCAGCCATTCTAACACACACTGGGGCAAAATGCCACTCCAAAAGGCACTACATAGGCTCCTCTTGCTTCCTTTCAATGTTAAATACATCATAGAAAATATAAATAACACTTTCTGACCTATATTTTCAGCCCTGTGCGTAAATAAAGGGTAAATATTTTACCACCAAAAGTCGTCTGCTGATCACGCCTCTAACGCATGATACCCTACTTACGCAGTGCAAGCTGCTTTGTTTCGTGATATTGCCGCCACAGGTCCTCTTCTGTAGTCTCCGTGACCGTATGACATTGCCTGGAGCATGCTGCAGCTCCTAGTCGCTGGGAAAATCCTCTAAATTGAGCAAAAATCGCCAAACAAACGTTCCGGTGTCTGACCACGGCCGCCATCTTTGTTTTGGGGTGTCCGAGATGGAGGCGAAGAATGAACTATGGGTAATTTGTGACGTCACAAAGACAGGCCACGCAAGTTGAAGTTTGTCTTTCTGTTATCGGTCATGTTATAATTCTTATAAAGCAATGACTAAAGCAACGATTTTTGTTCCAACTGTACGGTGGTTATAAAATTCAGTAGAACGAAGTCTACATTCTGGGGCAGAATTGCAGGTGTTTGGGAAATTTATTGTCCCTGGTTATGCTGAGGTCACATTTCCAAACCTGGGCCCAGCCGGGCAGTCTTATGGAACGAAAAGTAACGTTATATGATATAAAATACAACAAAGCACAGAGAAGTTGAGAAAATTCATAATGGGAACTATTTTCGCATATTCTTGACATAAATTGTTGACTTTTTTTTTTCAACAGCCCGGCTGGGCCCCGGTTTGGAAAGGTGACCTTAGCATTAGACTTATGACAACTCATATGGTTCCCCACAAGTCGAGCACTCTGCTGCTACGCCACACGGTCCCACAGTAAACATTTTTGAAACAGGCTCGGATGGCACAGCCGAACAGTAGCCTACTCCTGCGTGTTAAACCATGGTTAGGGGAATTCGGGAGGCGCTTTTCGGCTGTGTATGACAGACTGTTTTTGTGCGAGCAATCTCTGACCTGCCCGGTGATTCGGAATGATGCGTTTCTGTCAGAGTACGATGTTTTATACCGGGCGGGGTGCACCTGCGAACAATGCCCACATTCTGCGCGCCTTCCCGACCACGAGTACCGGCAGTGCCCGAGGCGCGGTTTGTACTTCTGTACCTTACAGGGTCCTTCCATGCAGTAAACCATAAAACTGTTGCAACTGCGATGTGTCTGTGCGAGCCAGTCTGATTTTCACTTACCTACCCTCCAACTGTGACAGAAAAGACGCCTTCAAGTTGTCTCTTTCAGTGAGCAGTTAACAGGTACCTTTACTGTTCTAACAACGTTAACTTCCCGTATCTTGATCGTATGTTCTTGCTTTGAAAAGGGAACAACTTCATAAACCAATGAGTTGTGCCTAATAAGGACTCGTTTGTAAGAACATAATTATACCTCTTTTGTTGATACATATTCCGTAGTGTTGGAGACATAGTACTAGTATGCCATTTTCATAGACAGATTTTCGGAGATACAAAATGCTCGAGTTCTCCTTGATTACATGTCTAACGATTACTGTAATTCCTGATTTTTTGACGGTACTGTTATGTTCACTGTTTTCACTGTCACTTCTGTACCGTGAACTTATCATTACAGTTAACAAATAATTCCTGGACTTTCTTTTTCCTGCACCTGTCGCCACAGTGAATATATACTATAGTTTCGTGAACGTGTCCATTTTTCTCAGACCGTGAACTTTTGCTACCGTGAGCATAAAGTGATTTATTCAAGGGTGTCCTATTTTCCTATACATCACACGTTCTAGAAAGGGTCGCATAGGAAAATCAGGTAGGGAAACGGCTCTATGGTATGCAACTTTACCACTGGTGCAATTTTAAGCCAGTGCTCTAGACTATTTTGCAATTATTGCAACTTGCAGAATAGTATGGTCTGGAATTACATACGTACGTAGGATGTATGTGTACCATTTCACAATTGACTCTTTGATTTTAGCTTGTCAGTTATTTAAAGTTTCAAAACACATTTATTTAGGACATCTTGAAAGTACATTTGGGTAAGTCCAGTTTCTTGTGTTGGATCGGTATTGCAGTTCAAACTTGTTTGATACATCTAGGACAATTTCTCATACTATTCAGTCTATTTGGCCAATTCTCCACTAGTACTTGTATAAAGTTTTCCAGCAACTTTGGGGAGGCTGGTAAAGGCTTTTGTTAAGACTCAGACTCATCTATACTGATATACTGTATATCACTAAATCGCTTCAGTAACCATATTGTTTAGGCCACACTAGTCTAATTTGTTCGTTCTCGGATTTTTCAACAACAAAAAAATGAAGCAACAGGGCGAAAAAAATAAGATAAAAACAGGGTTAAGCATTCTGTTATAGCCCCAAAAAGGCTGGATTAATATTCAAACATACAATGAGCTTTTAACTTTTAACATTCAGATTTTTTTTTTGTTTTTGCAAATCAGAAAAGAAATAAGAGGAGAGTCTGAGAACCAACAAATTGATTGGTGTGGTCTTATAGTTATCAAAGCGTAATGCAGAATAACTGCCTCGTCTGACTTACTGTCAGTCTGTAGACTTTATGTGCTAAGTCGCGATCGTTTCTAGCTCTCCCCTATTTCAATAAATATCGGCACGGCTTGATCGTGTTTCAGGAGTCCACGCTATTTCTGAAGACTTGGGTATAAGTAGTCTCTATTAGACATCTTTAGTTACAACTGTGTATATTATTCACAGTTGTAACTAAAGATGTCTATTGTGATTCTGTGGTCGGCCTCTAGTGATAGGTATATTCACCGCCCTTTGCCATATTCTACTATTTTTCAGCAAGCAAAGAAATTTGGTAGAGACTGTATACAGTATAGTATAGGGGTAGGATCTGGACATAAGTTACTCCACATAATGTTGAGATTCGCGACGTTCTCATTCAAACTGCTCAGACGGAGATTTTTGTAAACATGTGTTACTGCGAGGAATGGTAAAGGTGGCGTGCTCCTATCACATACCTGGCGTTTTCACCGTGTTTTTAGCGCTTAGCAAACCGTGCTGCCCCGCGGCTAAAATCCCAACCACAGGCGAGTCAGATACTCCTGAAGTTTCCTTTCAACAATTCGCGCATCAGTTAAGTAGTGGAAGCGTTACCCGTTATTGGTCCGGTCAATTCATGGCACGATTGTCGTACGATTGCCGTACGATCGCAAACTTCAGTGAGGACATTCTTGGGATAGTCGTCCATGCGTCGTAAGCTGTATTGTTACCAAAAAGGCTTAGATATTAACAACGTATCTGCCAGTGCTACTGTGTATCTGTTAGTCAATGGATCACCCTTTATTTTATCTAAAGTCAACTCTCAAATACTCATTATTACACAGTTATACTTCTAAAACCAAGTGCAAGCGATTTAATAACTGATTTATGGTACTGTATTAATTTATGATATACTAATAGCTTAACTCTGTTTCTTGTTACCTGGACGTTACCCATGTGATGTTTTGTCTTGTAATTTTTATTTTATGTCTAGAGGTGACGTGAATATAAGCTGTTTTACTTACATGTATACAATTGAGTGCGTCACCACTATGTACTGTGTTGTTGTATGTTGGAATAAAAAAAAGACTATCTTACATCCTTGTCCGTGGTTAGTTCTGTCACACCCTGCTTGAAAATTCTTCAACATCAAAATCTTACCGATATCGACATTAGAATTTCCTAGATGAACGGAATCGGCTATATCTTAGAAACACAGAAATACATGTTCTGAAAATGCCTTACATCTGACAACATGATCCATACGTTGATGCGTCAGCCAAAGTTTTTCTCGCAATGTGGCGCTTCAGTTCCATTTTCTACAACGTGGAAAACCGTGGCACGGAATAGAATGATTGGAAAAGTAATTTAATTGAGAAATACATGTAGTTCCGTCCAAGCTAAAACCAACAATATTAATGAAAATTTCCTCAATAAAACAGACATTAAATTCTTGCATAGAAAAGCACACCGAACTTTAACTTTGTGATTTCTAACATTCATGACTTTGTCGTTTTCCACAACAATTATCTATGGAAAAAAGCTTCTCTATATACATTGTGTCATGCGACGAGTTTTCTTGTAATAACAGTGATATACGAGTAAGTTGTGTTTTAAACAGATATTGTTTGTAAGTACGTTTAATTTGAACCCACATTTAATACTGACAATATATATGTGTTTGGATGTGTATTATCATAGCAGTTTTCTTCTTCTTTTTTTTTCTTTTCCAGGCGTTTTGTTGAGCTTTGTATTTTGTCGGCCAGGACATCAGAACAAAAACCGACAAAACAGAAAACCCGACAAAACACCTAAAAGCAAAAACAACCAAAACGTCCAAAACAGGCCTAATAATATAATAACCTTTGCTTGAAAAGTAGCCTGTTTCTACTTTAAATCTCAAAATTGCAATGAGAGATTAGCAGGACACAGAACCATTATTTACCTTCAAATCATCACATTATGGAGCAGTCCCTTATGAGATGAGGTCATAGCAAACAGACTACACTACAGGAATTGTTAGTTCTTCTCTTCATCCCCCTGCCCAGGTGTTCGTATTACGCACAGCAGGACTCCGGATTAAAGACAGTAAACACCTATAAATATTCCACACGATTCAAACAACAGTCTTAATCCAGGTAGATTAACATTAAGAATATCCCGTTTAGAAACGTGGGGTCATGTGGCGTAGCTGCAGAGGGCTCGATTTGGAACCAAGAGATCCCGGGTTCGAGTCCTGACATGCCACCGATCTTGTGCCCTTGGGAAAGGCACTTAACACGACTTTCCTCACTTCACTCAGATGAAAATGAGTTTTGTGGTGGTGGCGGCATTAATATAAGTTGAAAAAACTTGAGTGTGCCGTCACCACGTCTTGTGATTACACGTTGGAATATAAAATAAAAACGCATCCTACCTATGTCCTGATAACTCTCAAATATCAATCACTGTCAGTGGCACAATACAACAACCCTTTGACATTTTTTGAAACCAGCGGCAGATTCTGAGTCAATCTTATCACACTAAAAATGCGCAACAGATATTGGTTATCTCTGGAACGCGATTGTTCACCGTTCCAGCATGGCGCCAGGGTCTTATTGTGGCGGTACGGACCGTGTCCTGCCCAAGGTGACACATACCAGGTGTAGTCAGGACAGGCCTCCAAATT